TAAGTTAATAAGTCAAATTGTCAAAATCAATTCAAGATCTAAAATGAAAAACATAATATAATTTATCTAATTTATAAGTCTCGTTGTAGTCTCAACCAACTCATTAAACTCTACTCAATTTATATAAAATAAACTGAATTAATTTGATGTTTATCGAGTTTGACTCATTTATGAATAAAACTCAATCCAATTTAATTATATTAACTTAGGTCCTCAAGTAATTTCAATTAATAAATATCTTTTTGATGAGTTTATATTTATTAATTTTCTCATTTAACTTTTAATTTTTTCACGGTGCTCCACCTTATTTCTCTCATTTCCACGACGCTGTTTCCATCTGCATCAGCCATTCTCTAAATTTCGATTTCCTACATCTTCACTCTCTCGAGAGAGATCTCCTTATCGCAAGCCTTTCATCGTCACGGTAAGCCTTTTGCACTCACAGAATCATCTCCATTTCCTCTATCCTTCATTTTTCACCGAAACATTCACAGATCTAAACCCTTCGTTAGGGTTTCTTCTCCTTTTCACCATTTCCCTTCGATTCCACAGATTAAAACCTTGTTTTCATCGTTAGAAACTTTTTCCACCGATTAAACTTTGATTTATACCGATCAATCGGTCCATAATAGGCTTCCTTCTTCTTCTAGGGTTTCTATAAAGTTTAATCCTCTGTTTCTTATTCTTCTTCGACTTTTTGTCATTTCCGTTGCACTATTGCTAGTCCAACAATCTATCATTAACAACCTTTGGATATGTTTAATTATTTATTGTTGTTGTAGAGAGCTGTGCTGGAACCTGCAATACAGAGATGTCATCAACATCGAACACGACGCCAATTCTAGTAACGTTGATGACCCTGCCAGTGGAACAACATGCGATGCCTTCCCAACTGTGGCAACAGTCAGACAAAGGTGTCCAGGAATCTAGCATTTTTGAAGGGTCAAAGATGATCCTGCTCTTGAATTCTAGTAATGCTTCTTTGTCCACCACGTGACATGGCTCCGAAATTGAGGTAAGAGATGAGAAAATGAGAAGCAACATTATGGCTGCTGCCATAGTTCAGAATGAGGAGCGTGATGTTTTGTCTAGTGAAGTATTCAATTTATTTGTTTTCTTGTGAGATAATCACCAAAATGGTGTATGAAAATGGCATTGGAGATATAATTGTTGATGCTTTGGATGCAGCATTTTGAAGAGAGGCATGTGCTTCTAACGACAACTTGGATTTTCCCTGACTTGGCTCTTTGGAAGCAAGTTCCTTTAGTTCAACAAAAAGAAGTTGGGATTTTACAATTATATATCTCATCACTGTAAGGCAATTTATGAAACTTTTTCAGTTCAAGATTTTGATAGTTGTTGCTGATTTTATACTTTTTTATCATATAGATATTGATCTTATTAAGCCTATTGCTGACACTGCTATTATTGATTTCACTTCCAATGCTCTTGATTTAGTTTATGTTATTGATCATGATATACCTGCTGCTGTTTTTGATTCAAATGTTAATGTTGTTGATTGATCTGATTTTTACACAGTTTTAATTGATAACAACGTTGCAGTAGCTGGTGAATTTCATTCTTGTGTTTCAGATCTTGATGTTGTTGATTTTATTACTGCCACTGCTGATTATGATTTTAATGCTTCTGGTTCTGATTTTTAATGTTCATTATGAACTCAATAATGTGGCAGTTGTTGTTGTTGATTTTTCAAGTGTTGATTTTGCAATTGTTGATCATTGCAGGCGAGGAAAAGATCCTTTGGCTATGGTTTTGGCTCCTTCTAGAGAACTTGCACGACATGTTGAGAAGGAATTCAATGAGGCTGCACCTAATGTACTTTATTTCATGCATAGAGATGAACATCAATGGTTTCTAAATTATTTCCATTTAAACGGCCTTGATGCTATTGTAAAGGAGTTTCATTATTTAAATTTAATGATATCACGTTATGCTTTGTAAATAGCTATGCTTTAGAATTCGAGTTTCTGACAAGAACTCAAGACAAAAAACAGAGAATGGAAAGGAGTGTTTTTATTGTTTGAATGAAAACGAACAGTACTAGGAAAAAGATCTCAAGAACTCGGTTAATAGTTTCATTATTTTCTATAATTAACGTGTTGGTGTAAAAAAAAAGAAAAAAAGTCCTTCTATTGTCTCGGTTAAACTTCAAACCGAGGCATAAGACTCAACCACGAAAAAAAAAGTAAAAAGAGAAACACCATATAATGCTTCGGTTGCATTTGAACCGAGGCAAAAACATACATTTTTTTGTCTCGATTCTGAACCAAGGCAAAAAGTGATAGACCTTTTACCTCGTCTATATATGCATCGGTTGCGGAACCGGTGCCTATAAGCGAAAATAAGCGTTGTCGTTTCTCTTGACTGCACTAGTGATATTTGTGTGTCATAACACCTAAATTCCTTTCGTTGTGAGTATAATAATATTTAATTAAAAATATAATTTGAATAAATTTATTATAATTAATTTAAAAGGTTTTTATTTTGAATTGACGATGATATACTTTGATTAATAGTTTAAACACCAACAAATTAATTGAGAGTTTATTTGATTAATTTGAAATTTAAAACAAAAATCAAATAAATAAAAATTTTGTAAAATCAATGAAGAATTTCATTTGAAAAAAAATAGAATTCCTATAATAACATCCCAAAAATATAATATAAACTATATAATAGAGTCATCACATAAAATGATAAAATAGAATAGTCATCTATTATATAATAAAGTATTAACAGTACAATTATCCAAAAATAACCATAAGATTAAAACTTTACAAAATTCTACCTAAAGAAAAAAACTATAAACAGAACCGATCGGTCCCTACAAAATCTTCACCTGACCGATCGGTCCTACTCTAAGCAGCTAGGTCCTCTCCATCCAGCGCCTGCTCCACCGAACACTCACCATCTTCTACTCACATCCACCGGATGATCATTACAAAGGAGAATGTCGAACGAGAAACATGGTAAGACAGAAAGAAGGGTAAGCTAGTGTAATATAATAATCATATGAACATACAATCCAAACACACAGAACAAATAAAATAATTAAACACAAGTAGAAAAACATATAAACACATATTGACCGACCACTTTAACCGACCGTCCGGACTAGTATGAATATGTAGCTTTGGCCGTTCGTGCACTCGTGGGTGTAGTAACTGAAAACTCATCAGTTGCCACACGAGGTTAACCCGTTATCACTCACCGTAGGACCCCCCTTGGCTAGGGTCTCCTGCTATTCTCACAACATGACTTACTCATCTCTACTTGAGACTTGGTAATCATTAGAATGTCAGGATGAACGCCGTGGATTTCGCTATCCATATTCATACTATACCACCACCTTGATTAACCAATCATCGAGACATTCCTCCTTGGAATTCTCTTTCATACCAGTTGGAACATCATACTTTATTTGAATTTTAATACAATTTCTTATACAAGTTAGATCAATACAACTCTAATAATTAATCCGAACCATCAATGAAATCAATATTTAAAAACCGAATAGCATTTCGTAGAAGAAAACCGAACATATAACAGCACAACCCTTGAGTACTACCGAACGGAAAAGATCAACATAACCTATGATTAAGACCGAACGGAAAAACACTCATAACACGTGAACATGACCGATCGGTCATTTAACGAATAAGGCTAAAAACATGAGCCTACTATAGTTGAAAGGTCAAACACTTACACAATCGAACACTTTTTAACCTAGGTAGAACACTAGAAACTTAAACCAAATACTAATATAAAATCGATCACTAAAACATTACCGAATAATCATTAATAGGTAAGTTTCATAAAAGGCCGAACATAGTTAATATCGAATACCAATACAAGACTGAACTCTATAGCTAAACTGAATATCAGTACGAAATCGAACGTTATGACTAAACCAAATACTACTAAAACTGAACATTAATACACCACCGCACACTACTCAGACCGAACACTAATACAACACCAAACACTTCTACGACTGAACGCGAATACAAAACCAAACACTACTAAGACCGAACAGGAATACAAAACCTAACACTTATACGAAACCTAGCACTACTAAACCAAACGCTAATAAAAAATCGAGTACGACTAATAACGAACGCTGATATCAAATCGAATACTGCCAAGGCTGAAAACGAATACTGTTAAAACCGAACGTCAGTGCGAAACCGAGCAACACTAAGACTGAATACTACTACGAAACCAAATATCGCTAAGACCGAACACTATTGCGAGACCGAGTACTACTAAACCGAACGTTAGTACGAAACCGAGCAACACTAAGACAGGATATTAATACGAAGCCGAATACTGCTAAGACCGAACCAAATTAATGACCAAGTACCTGAACCTGGCCGAGCGGTCAACAACGAACGCTCGACTTTCTGCATA